TTTTATTTTATTTCGTTTATTTAGCTTTGCGCTGTTTGACTCTGATAAGCGCTGGCCGCTTACTTTATGCGCATATTTCACGACAATTCAATCAAGCTAGCCGCACATGGACATATATATGTGGACATGTGTGTGCCTAGCGATAAGTTTCTAAAAAAGCTAGGGCGTAGATAAACAAAAACCACTGAAAACAATCAAAGTAAATATAACAAAACTTTATGCCATATTTGCATATGCGTATGTGTGATATTTATTTAAAAATAAAAAATATGAAGAGAAAAGAAGAAGAGCTACGAGACGCCAGCCAAAAATGAAATACAAATTTATCGCGCGCAAACACAAACGACCTTCAGGCTTTTATGGCCCGGGCTTTGCCTTTTTTGCTTACACACGTTTTTATTTCCGTTTTGCTTTAATTGCTTTTCACTCGTTGCTCAATTGCCGGACTCGCCTTCCTCTTCCTTGCAGCCTTTTCCTCAATAACTGTTATTGTAATGAATGCAATTAATTCTTTTGCGACGCGATGCGTCGCTACTTCTTCTTGTTTACATTGTCAGCGCTACCAGTGGCGCTCACCAGCATGTTGAAAGAGAGCAAAGGGAGATGCAGAGAGGCTTTCAGCGCCATGGCGCTCACTCCTCAGAACATTACATTTGTGCTCTCTCTCTAGTTCTCTGCAAACGCACTAGAATAACCGTAAACAAAGGCCTGAGCATTGCGAGCATTTCTAGCACAGCATTGGATACTCTTTAATTGAAGTTTTCCTTTTCTTGTTCATAAAGGAATATTATTTTATTTGCTTTACGATTCTTATTGTGGATATGTTATAAAGTTATGAATAGACTGATAAAATTTCAAAATTGATTCTCTTGTTGTCCTAAGCAAAATCTAAATTTTTACTATGTATGATCAGTATGAGATCAGTCTATTCTCCCTCGTCTCACACTCTTGAACACAGTACGAGTTTATTATTGTTTAAGATAATTCATCTCACCATTTCAACAAAAAAAGTAAAAAAATTTAAAACTCATTAAGAACGTATATCTAGAAGAAATGTTATTCAATCGTTATGCTAGTCGGGCACTCCCTACAGTTTAATCTTTTTTTTATACGGTTTTTCTTCTTCAAATTATTTCATAACCTTTAAACAAATATTTTGATGTTTTATCTTTTTTTATTTTTCTTCAAAATACAATAATTGTTTTCTGGTTACAGCGACTGAGCTTGCAGTTGTTTTGTTTTTCTACGTTATTGTTATTAATAAGATAACGGAAAAGAATTTATTTAATCTTTTTAAGCAGAAGACACTCTCTTAGCTGGAAGTTTCTTGTTGTTCGCTACGTTGTTGATGTTTATAAGGAATTTTTTTTTATTTTTGACTATAATTTATTTTCTATTTTATTTGTTACTTGCCCATGTATTTCCGCGTTAATCACTTTAAGTGCAAAAGTAGATTATTGTCAAATAATATTCTTAATAATAGCAATAACAAAACAACAATGCATTGCCATTTGCGGATGAGTCGAGTGGGAAATGATAAATTATTGGGGGCAGAGTGCACTCTCTGCTCATGTCTGGCATTGCACTTTAGATAGACATAGCAATAGGAATGGATATAGATATAGATATATCTACACACATGACTAAAATATGATGTATTGCAATTAGCAATTGACATTGCCTGATGTCATACCAGAAACAAATGTAATTAATAATGTTAGCTTAAGATTGTAGTATTTTTTCTGGAATTAATTGCAAGAGCTTATCTTGATCTGCTCAGTTCTTATAAAATACTTCTGAGTCAATTAAGAAATGCCTAGTTATCTATAATTAGTTTTTAAAGATTTTAGTATTGTGATTCGGGCATTCTGTTTTCACAGATTTTTCATGGGTTAAGAAGTTTTAAAAATATTCTTTTGTTTCCCAGAAAAGAAAGATCGTGGTATTATTTTCCAGATTATTGACTATATCAATTTTTGGTTTTGTTTTAATTAATTATGTTTTGAAATACAATGGAATATATATACAATTTCCCTAATTTTAATAATGTTATTGAATTATATATTTATATTTATTCGTTTTTAAGTTTTAATGAAATTTGATATATATATATATATATATATATATATACGTTCTTATTCATTTAAAAATCTTTTGAAGATTGTTTCTCAAAATATAAACTTAAGAATATAATAAAATATTACGTACTTTTATCAGTGCCACAAATAACAATAATAAATTCTGCTGAGCACATCTCAAAGTTTACACTAAGAGCCAAGGACTCTGATATAGTTGAAAGGTAAACGCATTTGAATTAATTGCAAATTGATTTCCTAGACTGAGCAATAAAAGCTCAATAGCTCGATTCGGTTAAATATTTAACACATTTTTCAATAAATTTCTTTTTCTTGCCTAGAATTTGCCTTGAATGCTGACAGCGTCTATTTTTGATTTATATATGTTTTTTGTTTAATTTTTTGACCTATTCCAGAGACGCGTTCAAAAACGAAACCAGTCAAGGTCCGCGTTCTGGCCGAAACTAACGGACCGCTAGCGAAATTGCCATAAACAATAGTAAAAAATTGTTAACAATTTCCTTTAAAAAAACTGCAAAGCTATAAGCAGAATGTGAGCGAAAAAAGCTAAGCTAACGGAGCAAAGAGCGTTGCTTAGGTCATTGACCAAAAAAAGAATTAATGTTATTGTAAAAAACTAAGAGAGAGAGAGTCTACCAAAAGCGTTGCCATTGGAGCACTCGCTCTCTCTCTCTCTCTGGTTCTCTTTGTCGCTCATTCGCTCTGGTGCCGAGCACGTTTTCCAAGAAAAAAGCCAACGACGCTACTTTTTGTGTTTGTGTGCGCGTGTGTGTGTGGCGATCTCTCCCACAAGCAGGCACCCATACATGTACACATACGACATACCGTCTATGAGGGCTGGCTCTTTGCTTTTTTGGCAAAGCCAACAATACTTTTAATAGCAAAAACAATAATAACACGCAGCAGTAGCAGCAGCAATAACAACAACTACAACACCAACACCAAACACACACAAAGGAAAGTTGTTTTTGTCGTTTTTTAGCGCTGTTGTATGGTACAAAGCGGTGTGCGCTTACGTCATTCATAAAAATAAAAACGCAGCGCAAAGCAAATGAGCAGCACCGCTGAATCGCTATCTCACTCTCAGTGTCTCTCTCCCTTTGTTGTTGCTGCTTTATGTTTTCGTATGTTCTTGTTCTTGTTGCTGCTGCTGCTGCTGCTGGTCGTTCTCACTTAGCTATTTACCTGAAGAATATTTTAACCATTTTGTTTGGCATTATTTAAACGGCTGTCGTTGTTACTTGACACTCTTCTTATACATATTTAAACAAATTTGAGCTACATTGCCACGAATAGCGCGTTTGTTTTTTTATTTTGTTTTAATCGAGCCGCAGGTTTTGTTTTGCACACACATAAAAATCTACTACTTTTCGTTTAGATTTTCACGTAGCACTGAGCTTCTTGTCATTTTGGTGTGTGGGGAAAACGTTAACAACAGAATGACACTGTCCCTTAAAGTATTAATTTATCGTTTGGCCGCCACAAAATATCGAAAAAGCGGAATCTGAACACATAAGCTGCCCTCTTAAATTCAATTTTAAGCGCCACTGTTTGTTTTGTTAAGCAATGTGCGGAATTTATATTTATTTCATGTTTGAAATTGTATTTTTATTAAAGATTTTACAAACACATATATTTTTGAAATTAACGACTCTTACTCATAATAATAATGCAATCAAATTATTTGTATCTGAAACTATATAACATTTCTGTTAAATAAATGTTGTGCTCAAATTGGTAATAGAGTTGACACATATCCAGATAAAGGTTGCTTACTGTGGCAATTAGGAATGATATAGCAGCGAGCAATTAGATATTCGCAACATAGCGCCAAATTCAAAATTATGTAATGTAAAAGATGAACTGCTCATTAATTAAACATAGGAGCAGGGCAGAAGCAAGGTAATGTGTGAATCATTTTCCACACTTTGTCCGGAATTTGCACTTAGCTGGTTTTCATTGTCACTCGCAATATCTTAATTACAAGACTCGCCTCGAGTGTCTCGATATCTGCGACGCTCTTTTCAGCGGCGGCTGGTCTTATTGTTCGCGTTTAATTGCAATTACCTGTCAGATTAATGGGCAGTGCCCACCTCTCTTAATTGTAGCAACAACAGCCACAACAGCAGCTGGCGCCACCTACCGCCCACCACTGAACAACATATTTGCATTGTTTAATTGCCACTCAAAGCGCCCCCTACCTACACACACACGCAAACACCCGCTCGCTTACACACATGGCCGTTAAAGTGCCGCATTTCTTAATGAATATGCAACAATGAGAACTCAACTCAACTCGAGTCAACTTAACTCAACTCGACTCGGCTCGGCTCGACGCTGCTATCCTGCTATCCTTTCTGACCACACCAGTTGCACGGCACCTGTTAATGAGTTACTCAAGTGGACGGAGTTGAGAGCAGCGAAAGCGAGGCAACAGGACAACGCCTTGATATCAATGCACATACATGGCATGCGTGCAAGCGAGATGCCGTTATTTCAAATATAAATTTCATATTTAATGGGCAATTCGAAAATTCGTTAGAATTATAACAAAAATATTAATAAATTAATAATAATAAAAGAAAATAATACACAATATATATATATATATAATATATTATATAATTGAAAAAAATTTGTATTTTGAATATATTGAAATATTTTTCGGTTAGTTATGGTTTTTTATTTATTTTATTATATTTAAAATTTTTAAAATATTTTGTAGTTATTAAATCTCTATTTAATTTAATAATAAATATCGATAAATATAATAATAAAATGATCGAATAGAGATATTTCAATGTTATTTATTATATAAGCGCAGAATGATGCAAGTAGCAGCTCTGTGCTGGGTTCAGGGTATCTTCTAGTCGATCACTTCCACCAGGAGCACTTTTTTCAATTTCAATTTTTTTTATGCGTCCCGCATTTTATATCCTGCATAAGATTCCAAATATTTTGCATTCGTTCCTCCATCTTTGAAGCATTTTCTTCCTCGCTTTGCTTGTTGGCCCGTTTTTGTAAGACTTCCAATGCCAGTCTCACGGTGGTATCATCGACCTCCACTTCCTTGACTTTGCTTTCAATGATCTGCGTTTTCTCGCCTATATTTTCATCGATTTCTATTTCCTCTTGCCCTGCTTCCACCTTCGATGAGTACTCATCTTCGCTGTCATTAGTCGCCTTATACTCGCTGAAGTATAGCTGGTTGATCTCGTGTTTCATATCGGTTTGACTCTCCTGTGTAAACTTACACTTCCGGTCACCATAAAGCTTAGCCTTGTTATCCCCATTGAGAATTATCGATAAATATCCATTTTTTGTTGTGCCGTCGAGATGGACCCACTTGAGCAGGAAGCGACGCAGCTTGTCCCATCTGTGCCAATTCTTGCTCAAAGCGGCTTCATAGCAACACAGCAGATCTGTCCGGAAGATGGCCGAATTGAGTTCAGCCTGATCGAGAATTTTCTGTAAGCATTAAGTGGGAAAGCTCTTGATTAGGTTCACGTCTAGTTGAATCATTCATTTTTGAGTCATTAAATGTATTGAGTAATGAACGAATCATATTACTGAATCCCTAATTCATAGGCAACCAGAGCTCAGTGGAACACACTCTTACTGAGCTGATGTTGAGCTCATGATCATTTCACTAACTGACTAAGCCACTTTCTTCATGTTCAACTCAACTGCAGCGTTCGCTGAGCACTTAAGGTGCTCAGTAGTTCCGTTTAATGATTTAACATATATATATATATTCAACTGAATCACGTGGTGGAAGAGTTTATTAGTTTTGTATATTGCCCATCTGTCTGTCCGTCCGCCACCCTGTCCATCCACACGTCCGTCCTTTCGTCCGTCTGTCATCCGATCGTGCGTCTGTCCATTCGTTCATTCTTCCGTCTCTCCATGCGTTAGTCCGTCTGTCCATTCGTCCGTCCGTTCGTCCGTTCGTTCGTTCGTTCGTCCATCCGTTCGTCCTTCTTTTCGTCCATCCGTCCGTTCGTCCTTTCCTCCGTTCGTCCGTCTGTCCATTTGTCCGTTCGTTCGTCCGTCCGTTCGTCCTTCCTTTCCTCCATCCGTCCGTTCGTCCATTCATCCATCCGTCCGTTCGTCCGTTCCTCCTTGCCTCCGTTCGTCCGTCTGTCCATTCGTCCTTCTTTTCGTCCATCCGTCCCTTCGTCCTTTCCTCCGTTCGTCCGTCTGTCCATTTGTCCGTTCGTTCGTCCGTCCGTTCGTCCTTCCTTTCGTCCATCCGTCCGTTCGTCCATTCATCCATCCGTCCGTTCGTCCGTTCGTCCTTGCCTCCGTTCGTTCGTCTGTCCATTCGTCCGTCCTTTTGTCCATCCGGCCGTCCTTCCTTTCGTCCATCCGTCCGTTCGTCCTTTCCTCCGTTCGTCCGTCTGCCCATTCGTCCGTTCTTTCGTCCGTCCGTCCATCCGTTCGTCCTTCTGTCCTTTCGTCTGTCCCTTCATCCATCCTACGTCCTTTCGTCCGTCCGATCATCTTTTCGTCCGTCCATATGTCCATGACTAACTGTAAACTGTAACTAGAGTCTTGATTGAGCCCGCATCTAAAAAGCTATATTTTATAGATCGATGCCCATAGGAGGCATGGCAAACCGCAAACATCTAGATCTTCTAAATTTTAAGAGCTTGAAACTCAAAGATTCAATTACTCAGTTACTGTTGAGTTACTGGAGGCGTGGCTTATGGAAAATACCCTGGAATTTCCGATATATGCAAGTATGTGGCAGGGTCTGAGTCCTTCAAGATCAAACTCTAGATAGATCCAGGCAATTGTGTAGCTATTGAGGTAAGCAACTCACCTGAGTATCGCTGACAGCCAGACCGCTCATCAGATTCATTAGCACAATGGACAGAAAGACGAAGAGCAGCAGGACCAAGGCGTTGGAGTAGCTGCTGAAGTCCTTGTACTCCATTTGGCCGCCAAACATGAGCCAGGTCTGAAAGAAGGCGCGACTCGGCTCGGCTAAAGTAAGAAACTCCTCGGGAACGACTTCGGATACAGTTTGGTTATCGAAACGCAGCTCGACGGGCTTGCCAAACTGTATGTACAGGCAGAAGCAGAAGGTGAGTATCAGAATCGAGTAGAGCAGCAAGCTGACGACGAAATTGCGCGTCACCTGGTGCAGCATGAGGACGTGCGTGGCTATCACCGGCACGGGCAATGCGCCAACGAGCATCATCAGCTTGACGACCATTATGATGATGGCGAATATGGAGACGAGTCGCTGGACTTCCCGGCTGCCCAGCTCGATGCAGGCGAACAGCAGCAGAACGGCGAGCAGCGGATTCAAGCAGTTGGGCATGTGGCCCACCATCCAATAGGTCAAGATGTCGCAGACCACAATGTAGACTATAATGCAGCCCACACAGAAGCTGCTGAACATGATCAGGTACTCGATGGGAAAGCGCGTCGGGAAGCGCAGATAGGTGTGCGCCAAGAGTGTGAAGCAGAAGAGCATATAGATAAACAGATGGATGTAGAAGATTATGGAGAGACGCTTCCACTTGAGCAGCAGAAAGCAGTTGATCAGCGGGTGCAGCAGCAGCGGGCACAGCTCCTCCTTTTTGGCAATGTACATCACGGGCGACATATTGAGCTCCAGTTCCGGCGTGGTCAGATTCATGAAGTTCACCAAGATTTCGTACTGCTCCTTGGAACTCTTGTCGCCGTGACTCATGATGCAATGATCGAATTGCTCGCTCAGCAGTTCCATACTGATGCGCTCCATCAAGAGCTTGCCATTGGCTGAGCGCAGGCCCAGAGATGCCCCATGGCGCAGCAGCACACGAATGGCCACCTCGTTGCGATGTTTGACGGCATAGTGCAGCGGCGTCTGGTTGGGTACAGCGGACTGATTCAACTTGTCCAGATCCAACGTTTGCAGCACTTGCTCCAGGCAGCCCTCGTAGCTGTGATCCTTCAGCAGCGGCTGCGCCAGCTCAATCAGATTGATTAGCATCTGATCATTCGACTCTAGCTGCAGGAATGGCGTTTGCAGCAACTTTAGCACCACTGACCAGTTGTCCATGCCGATGGCCGTGGCAATCAGAATTTGATTATCCTCTGGCATATTGGAGGAGCACATTATAGACTGTATTCTCGCCAGCTGCGAGTCGTCTTCATCCCCAATATAATGTAGCAGCAAGCAAATCTGCATCTCCACCTTATTCCAGTTGGCGAATATTTTCTCAAGTCGTCGCATTGTCTCCGAGAATTCGTCCGAGTCGAGGCTGAACATGTAACGCGGCAGCAGCCAATAAATACGATCTGCTTCAATGTGTGACTCGGGCTGAAGCAAGTATTGCACCACCTTGTTATAGTTGTCATCGCTGACGTGGCCCAAGTAGATGAATGCCGTCAACAAGTCGACGACTGCGTCCTGGGGAGTCTCCTTGTTCTGCAGGACGTATGGTATGGCCTTGTCCGACGTGGCGCCATGCCTGAGTAAGAGCCCAGCGCACTCCAGAATTTTTTCATATTCCGCCGCGTCCAACTCTTTGACGAGCGTTTCCAGAGCTGTTTGCCCGTTGTAAACATAATTCACATCCACCTTACCCTTCTTGAAGTTCAGCAATACGGCGATGTTGCGGTAGTCCTTTGAGTCAATGGCATAGTTAATGGCCGCCTTCTTCAAGTCCGGATTCACCTGTGCCATCACAATATAAGCGATCATTAGCAATTCGACAATCCTTTGCACCTGGCACACTCACATAGTCGATTAGGCAACCCGACCTCAGGCAGGCGCGTATAAATTTGCTGCAACCCGGCGTCGATAGCGCCTGCTCGTAGATGGACATTTGGCCCTTGGGCTCGGAGGGACGCAGAGTTGGCTGGGCTCCCGCATCGAGCGCATTTTTAAACCTGTCATAATCCAGCGCCTTAAACGCTTTAATCAGCTGCGACTGAGCCTCGCTGGAAGTTGTCGACATTATTGACGAAATTGTTCTTAGCTGTTCGATCACTGTTCACATACCTCCAGCAGCAGTCGCTGCTGCTGCTTATATACGAAGTTTTATGATTCATAATTTGATATAAATCAGAGCCTATGCTCTACATGAGAGCTTAGCTAATATTCATATGGGATTTGTACATGCAACTCGAGCAGGCACAATTTGGATATGGGTTAGCTGCGTCCGACAGTTTGTCAACTGTGGTCTCCGCTCTCCACTCGCCCTTGAGCTGACTCCCATCTTGGCACTTCAATATGTCCTCTAACTGCCCCCGCTCGCAGTATTCCTGCCTTCTGTTCCCTGCTTTCCCGCTGCAATCTCACAGACCCCTCTTCAAGCATCTTTGTCCTTGCACATTCGCCTCATTACGATCTCTACTTAGCCTTCAACGATAGACCCTTCCTTGCTTTGACAATCTACTGATATCTATACTAATATAAATATTGTTACTAATTTTAATAATCATTAATTTAATATTATTACTAATTAATTAATTATTTAATATTAATTAATATTGTTACTAATTTTAATAATCATTAATTTAATATTAATTTTTATACTAAAATTCCTTACTCTTGATCAGTTTGTATTAAGTTTGGCTCGACTAGGATATACCCGGAATTCTGTGAAGCAATGATATTCCAATGATTCAATGAATCTTTTAGGTTTGCATTGCACTCACACACACCTGCACATACCCCCCCACACACACATGCATAAGCACGCGCTCTGCTTACTGCGCAGTTGGCGTCGCGACTGCGCTCAGGCTGCTGAACTAAATTGTTGAATAATATATGTTTGCCTTAAAGGAACCTATACAGCAGGTTTAAAGTCTCCAACATTTGCGAGGTTCCAGCTACGTTAAGAAAACTAAGTCAAATTAACGATTTTTGATCGATATTAAGGAAATGCGCTAAGATATTGAAAGAAAAAGATAAACATCTACTGCATATGGGATCACACGGACGAATGGATAGAAGGACGGACGGAAGGACGGACGTACGAAGGACGAACGCATATGGCTAGATCGTTCCAGCTGAACAAGAATATGTCTACGTAATGCGGTCTGCCACGCCTCCTTCAGCCTGTTACATAATTCTAAGCAAAATCATTGAACCCCAAAACCCATCACCAATGGGTTCGGGGCATATAAATAGTAATTTGAACCGTAGGAATTTTGTTCATCAGCAGGCCCGCATAGCCAAGTATTATATTTAGTGTTAATCGATTTTGATTTTATTTATCAGAAAAAGCATTCGCAATACTTATAAATTTAACAATTTTCTGGGCTTAACCCGAACCCCTCATCGGAGTGGGCGAAGGCGCTGACTATGAAAAATTTCGTTATGCAATTTAATTTTGGGTCAACTGGAAAAAAAAAACAGCAAAACCCAAACAATAACAAAATATGAAGCCGCCTTGTTAGCCCTCCGGTGGTAACTTGTGGCCAAATTGAATTACTTAAGCATTTTGGCTTTGTTTACTCTAAGGGTGCGGCCACCCACGCTCTAACGGTTGCTGCTGTTACTGTTGTTTTCCACTTGGTCCATTGCTCTGTTGATTTTTGGCTTTTTAAAGATTTCTGTGTGGTTAACTGTGCTTCTTGTTGTTGTTCTAAGTTTTTAATTTTTTATTTGTTGTTTATTTGTTGCGGGCTGTTGAAAGGCAACTGAGTATAGCGAGTGAATCAGGCAAATTATTGTGTTTCTTTATCAGTTGGAATAAATTTAGATCAGTAATATTAAAATGTGAATATAATTTAGCTAATGCTACTAATAATAATACTTATACTAACAACTGTCGGCCATAAATTAAAAATAATTATAATAATAATTATAAATGAATAATAATAATATTAAAAACTAATCCAAAAACTAATTTATTGTAATTGTAATACTATATATATTATATATATATACATATATATAAAGTATTATTATTATAAAAAATTAGTTGTTATTATTATTATTAATTTATTATTTTTTAGTAGGCATGAGCAGAGAGCATGATTCAACTTGCTTTAGATTTATATATAATAATTTAGCCAGTCCATCTCCCGCCGCTTCTGCTCTCGAACTCTTCTCTCTTGATAATTTTGTCTACCAATAGGCTTTAGTCTCTTCGGACTTTCGGCTTTCGCAAGTTCTTTGCTGACAGCATCGAAAATTTTTTACTTTGCTGAAGATCCCATAGCTCCTAGTTCAAGAAGGATGCTCGGTATCACGGCTGCCAAGCTGCCAAGGGCAGCATCGGTTTGCACATTATCACTATTAGCTAATGTATATATTTATAATAATAATAATAATATTTAATATAAGAATATAATATAATATAATATAATTGGGAGCCTTCCGTTTCCTGCAGTCTAGCAACATTTGTCTTCAGTCTACTCAGAGATTCTGTTGCTGTTTTCCGTGTTGAAAGCTATTCCCAAAAATGGGAATTTTCTATCTAGTCTAATGCGAAATGGAAAGTGAAATTTCCATTGAGTACTTCTTATTCAAGTACTAATAATAAATTTAAAAATTTTATATCTTTATATATTATATAATTTATACTAAAATATTATATAGAAATTAAAATCATTTTAATTAATAATTAAATGAATAATTATATATATATGAATAATTATTCATATATAATTATAATAATATTATTATATTATAATATATTATATAATAATTATTCATATATATATTCATATATATATAATATATAATTATATATATATATTTGAATAAAGAAAATTTATTTTAGTCATGTAGCAAAAATTGTTAAAGGACTTAAAATGTTATTATTTTATTATTTAATTTTTTTAGATAAATCTAATTGATTTGAGTTTGTTATTTCTATTCTTATTTTATTTATTATTCAAAAATACTTTTCGTGCCTTAATTGAAATTGCACGCGTTATTCGCACTTCTCTGTCGCTTCTCTCCACATCTTTGTATGCCAGGTCTGTAGTCTCTGCACGCTCTGCTCCAGAGAAGATGCGTATGTTACATTTAATGAGGAACAGCTTTGTATGCATGTCGCCGATGTGAATGCAAATTTGATTTGATGTTCATTAAATAAAAAAAGCAAAAAAAGGATATATATATATATGTATATATATCTGAAGATACAGCTAGATGTTTGTGTGAGTGACACCCGGGGCGCTATCAGCACTTGGCTGGAGTGCTTGCTGGTGGTGCAAGTGGTTCGTCAAGTGGTAGGCACCCACTTCTTTATGCATATTAAGATGCCAGCAGCTAACTTCGTTTGGGTCGACTGGAGAGCGGGCGGCTGTAAACCCTTCCAGCATCGTGTTAATGGACTTAATAAAAAATGCAACATTTTGATTTAATTTAATTGAAATTCACGCCACTCGAGCAACTCCATTAGGCAGAAACGTGTCCACAACATCCAAGCAGAGCGCGGCGCAAATCAAATTACCATGGGCGAGTATGGCTGAGAGGGGGCGTGGCGGGCGTGGCGGGGTGCTTGTAAGGTCGGCTCAATAAATATTGTCAAAACACTTGTCAAATGGCTAAACAAAGCGTGTGGGCGAGAGGGATTTTCGGCGAGCAAATAAGCCACTGGCTACAGTCGAAAGAGGCCTTGTCCATAGCCCAAAGCCTTGAGTGGGCGTGCCTATTGACACTGCCACCAAATTAAGCAAGAGCGGAGGGGGGACTGGCGGACTGGCGGACTGGGCTACTGGGGGCCCTGGGCCATTGCCAGTCGGCTGCAAATCAATTTGATTCGATTTAAATTTAAAAGCATCTGCGAGACGTCGACGACATTGAGTGCCAGCGCTGTGCGTTCCCCTTCTGCATGAGCTGGCTCTACCCCCTCCATCTCCCTCTCTCGTTCGTCGTTCCCCCAAATTTCCCTTTGGCGTTGATCTTGCGCGTGATTTTCATGTTAAAGTCACGTGCCGCAGACGCGTGCCATTGACATAAGTTTTCAGTTTCGAGTTGCAGCTACAGCAAGCAAAAAAAAAACAGCAAAGGGGGTGGCAAATGGGCGCATGGCTAGTTTTTTCCTTCTTCTTCTGCCTCTCTATGTAGAGTGTGGGTCTTGGTTGTGACATGTGTGCAGGCCTGCGTGTTAAATGTTTGATTTAGCTATCAGTTTAATTCTATTAGTCGAGCAGCTTTCCACTCAGACATTTGCTGCAATGTTTGCACTCGTGTTGTCAATGCTGGAGATAACTGGAAACATACGCTCAATGACCAAAGCGGGCTCATTTATTATATATAATATGCTTTATCTTGTTATATATATTATCTTAATTTAAGCTGGAGCAGCAGTTAATTATGAGAGTTTTAAATCAAGCAATGAGTGCGTGAGTTTTGTTCAGGAAGTTTAAGAGAGCTGCATAAAAACTGTTATCTTTGATCTATCTTAAATTGTTAGTTGCACAGTAAATTAGCTATATTTGATGTATCTAAGTAAAGTATAGGAGCTTCTCCTTTCCCAGCTTAGAATTGATAAAATAAAAATTTGTTTGGAAATTTCTTTAACACAACTCATTCATTGAAAATTACGATTTGATAACATTTAGCTGTTTTTAGAAAATGCTTCAAGTTGAATTAATTAACTGACAACACACATAAGAGAGGGCATTCACTTAGTTAAGCACACTCAGTTATTTCTTAAGTCTACTGCTTCTTTAAGCCTACAAACCCTAACTAAAAAATTTCAATAATAGAAAATATTACGTACTCTAACACATGTAATTATTTAGGGAATATATTTAAAAAAGCAAATATTTTATTTTATTTTTTTGGCAGCATATTAAATTTATGAAAATCGATATTTATCGAAGCAAAGAAATTTGTAGAGCTTAAGCTCATTTTATGTGACAAATGCAAAAGACAGTTGAATAAAAAACGGAAGGAACAGTCGAGCAAGCCATTCTCATCAATAAGCTACAAATTGTAAAGCTTATAATCTGCTTTTTACATATTTCTCAGTCCAGTTATTTTATGAAT